GGCCCGTGGCGGGAATGGCGCGCGGCGCTTCGCAAGCCACCGGGTGCTGGTGGAACCGAACGCGGCCGCAGGTGAGCGCAGGGGAAGGGAGGAACTGTTCCACAGCTGGGTGAGGCAGGGTGATGTCTGCAAACCCCACCGTGGCCATGTCCTTGATCTCCGGAGCCAGGCCCTGAAATCCGGTGTGAAGTGCAGACACTCCGGTGAACGCTGTTAAATTTCCAAAAGCAAGAGATAAAGCGCCAGTGTAAACTCGCTTTCACGTCCGGTGGCTTAAATGAATCTTGTTCTGAAAGTTTTCTCTTTGAATTTGGGGGATGAGATGTCATCTGAGCTATTGAATTAGTTGAAAATGATTGGAAGCATTTTCTTTTAAAACATTATCATTTTTCTCAACACTCCTGCGTAGCACAGAACCCAGTTACTGTTTTTCTTTTTTTAATTCAGTAAGGGCTATGGAACTCATAGGTGTTCTGCCAGTGAGCTACATCTCCGGCCCTTTTTATTTTTGAGAGGTCTCGATAAGTTGCCAGGCTGGTCTTGAATTTGCAATCTTCCTGCCTCAGTCCCCCAACACAGCAGCTGTTTTTCTTATTAAAGCCTGGAGCCACAGATGGGATCGTTCCCCATTGCTGCCCCCTCCCCCACTGAAAACCCTCCAGCACAAATAAAGCACTTTGAGAAAGCCTGGGCTTTCTCTGCAGAGAAGGGACAGAGCTGGGCTCAGAGATGGCAAAATATTACACTTCAAACAGGCTGTCCCATGGCCTCTCACCGCTAGGCTTCATCTCTGTCCAGGGAGCCCAGGAGGAAACTGCCTCCTGCTCAAACAGACCTGCAGCCTGGCCCTCCTCTGCCTGGCCACTCAGGCTGCCAAAACTGCAGGTTAAAGTTCCCTGTGCCCTACCCCCCGCTGGGTTCACTTCTCTGGGGCTGCCTGGTGAGGTGGTGAGGGGCTTCGGCCTTAAACCCAACTGTGAGTCCAATAGAAGTTTGAAGTTTTGTTTGCTTTTGTTTTCTTGTATATTATTGTGGATTGAACCCAGGGCCTTTGCACTGAACTACATCCCCAGCCCTTGTTTTTCACACTGCGAAAGGATCTTGCTAAATTGGGCTCCAACTTTCCATCCTCCTCCCTCAGCCTTCCAGAGTTTTGAGATTATAGATGTGTGCCACCACACTAGTTACTTGTGAGGCTGAGGCAGGAAGATCAAAAGTTTAAGACCAGCCGGGCATGGTGGTGCATGCCTGTAATCCCAGCATTTGGGAGGCTGAGGCAGGAGGATTGCTGTGAGTTGGAGCCCAGCCTGGGCTATATAGTGAGTTCCAGGTCAGTCTTAACTGCATAGTGAGACCCTGTCTCAAAACACCAAAAAAAACAAAGAAAAGAAAAGTTCAAGACCAGCCTGGGCAATTTAACAAGACTGTCAAAAGAAAATTAAGGGCTAGGGGTATGGCTTAGTGGTAGAATGTCTCTTAACAATCCCCAGTGCTTTTGGAGGGGGGGTGTCTTAAGTGCTGTAATGAAGCTGATTTTTTTTGTTGTTGTTTTTGTCTTTTTTTTTTTTTTCGGAGACAGGATCTCACTGTATATTCCAGGCTGGCCTTAAACTCACTATGTAGCCCAGGCTGACGTGAAATTCACAGTAATCCTTCTGCCTCAAGCTCCCGTGTGCTAGGATTACAGTTGTGTGCCACAGTGCCTTGCTCTTAAAGCTGGTTTTAGATTCTGTGCGACACGTTCAAGAGGTTTTATTTACCCACCCTGTGCCAAGAGTGCAGTTACCTCGTCGTGGTCAAGTACAAATTCTAGCTCATGTTCACCTTTGGCTTCTTTACCTTTTCCCCAGTGTCCTCAGCTATGCTGCCAGACTTGAGAGTCAGTTTCAGAAACTTCTGCCCAGCCAGTTTGAGAAGTGCTTTTCTTTTATGATTTCCTGTAGCGGGGTAATAGTCACCTCTTCCTCATGAATCAAAGGTCCCAAAGAGCCCATCTGCCACCAAGACTTAGTTCAAGTTCACAGATAATAGTTGATGTTGACAATCCAGTAACTGAAATCCTAATCAGGGAAATTCTCCATAAATGACTGGTGGTGTTTCGAAAGCCATCAAGCACCAAGCATGTAAGGGGAAGCAAAAACAGGGGCCCCTGGCCAACGGCTGCTGTGTCTGTAGGAGCAGGCCCTTGTCTCTCCTTTTTCTGACGGATGGGCCAAAGACAAGGTAAGGAAGTCTGACTGCGGTGTTTGCAGCCTCTGTCTCTAATGAGCATGAGCTGAATCCCTACTATAATTTCTCGTACATCTAGTCCTTAGAGTTATTTATTTATTTATTTATTTATTTATTTATTTATTTATTTATTTTTTGATACGAGGTCTCACTATGTAGCCCAGGCTGGCCTCAAACTTGTGGTGATCCTGCCTCAGCCTCCCAAGTGCTGGGATTACAAGTATGTGCCGCCATGTCCTGCTCTTTTAGATTTTTCTTGGTCACTCAAGGAAGTAAAGTGTGTCCTCTTCCCACAAGGACTCAGGACTTGCTGCTGGGGAAAAAAGAACAAAGATGAACATATTGCTGGGCGTGGTGGCGCACGCCTGTAATCTCAGCACTCAGGAGGCTGAGGCAGGAGGATCACTGTGAGTTCGAGACCAGCCTGGGCCACATAGTGAGTTCCAGGTCAGTCTCAACTACATAGTGACACCCTGTCTCAAAAAACAAAAAAATAAAACAAAATAAAAAAAAAGAACTCAAATTTGTGGAAAATGACCTTTGATGACCCTCAGTGTTCAAAGACAAAGACGCACAGTTACTGGCAGTACCAGGCAGCTGGATGGAACTAAGTTGGTCTTTAGGATAGGTACCAAGGGAGAAGACTTAAGCAGGTCTTTTTGAGGGGACACATTTCAGCCCACAGCAACATTTAATCTGGGGGAAATACCCAGGAACACATGTCTTTGTGTTTCCTTAGTTTCTAGGATCCCTGGGAGCCATTTTAGTCACTTTGGAATGTTTGTTGGTCTTTCATCCTTGTTCTCACAGCATTGCTGGCCTTGTTCTTACAACATTGCTTCTCTTTCCATCTTATAACATGTTCTGGACATACTTAAGGGAGAAATATCTTGAGCATAGTATACTTTGTTCTCTTGGAGGCTGCCAAGAACCTTGGTGTCATCCTTCTTGGCACACTGGGTTCAAATGTAGATGTTTCTGTGAATATGAACAGCCAGTAACCAACAGAAATCCAGCTCATTAACTTGTTTAAAAAAAAAGAAGAAAGAAAAGAAAACTGTAAAATGTTACAAAATGGATCAATAGATCTCTTTGTTTATTTTTGGGACAGGGTCTACTACATATTTGAGACTGACCAGGAACTTACTATGTAGCCCAGGCTGGTTGGTCTCCAACTCACAGTGATCCTCCTGCTTCAGCCTCCCAAGTGCTGGGATTACAGGCGTGCACCACCACGCCCACCTGGTAGATATCGTTTTACAAAGTTATTGGCACACAGCTGCACCCATTTATAAATCATGGCTGCTTTGGGGGGGGGGACCTTGCGCTTGGGAGGCAGGTGGTGGCACCACTGAGCTAAATCCCCGGCCCTAATCATGGCTGCTTTTACACTAGTTGTAATAGGCCTTTGTGATCTGTGAAACTATAAAGGGCTTTTACAGAAAAAATGTACTGACTCTCAGGAGAAAGGACTGCAGAGGGTCAAGATGGGAGGGTTTGGGGGTTTTTGTTTTGTTTTTATTTTTGGTACTGGGGATCAAACTCAGAAATTTGCACTTGCAAGGCAGGCACAGTGCCGCTGAGCTAAATCCCCAGCCCTGGAGAGTTTTGGTTTCATGACTGTACCTTTGGCCTAATTTCGGGTTATATAATAGCCTTGTGATTTAAAAGGACACTTTTTCCCTTGCTTCAGTGCTGGGAATTGAACCCAGGGACTCCACATGCCAAGCAAGCACTCTGTCACAAAGCTACATCTCCAGCACATTCATCCTTTTAAATTTTGAGACAAGGTCTCACTTATTTGCCCAGACTGGGCTTGAATTTATAATCCTCATGCCTCAGTCTTCCGAGTAGCTGGGATTACAAGCATGTGCTCCCGTGCCCAGTTTGAAGAACATCTTGTACTAAGTTCACTGCTAATGAGGAGTTGGTTTGACCACCACTGTACAAACTTGTTCCTGTTTAGGTTTACTTCCTGGCTTACAGGAAAAGATAGCAGACGCTCAGTTTTAAATGTTAAAATGGTGTGAATAGTACTCGTTTAGCTAGGTGTTATGGTTCACATCTGTGATCTCAGTGCTCTTGGAGGCCGAGACATGAGGATGGCAAGTCCCAGCCCAGCCCAGGCAATTTAGCAAGACCCTAACTCAAAAAAGGCCTCGGATGTATCTTAGTGCACAGGCCCGGGGATCAGTTCCCAGTACTAGGGGGGAAAAAGTGCTGTTCGGGCAAGACTGTGTTGGACTTCCGGGAAGATGGTGGAATAAGCAGCAGAGAAACAGCCTCTGTGATATTTGGTGCTCCGGATGCTGCAGTACAGCAACATGAGGAAGAGGAGGAGAAGGGAAGCAGGCCCCTAGGACTCAGCAAGGATCTGAAGCAAGAATTGGAGTCCACGGAGAGAGCGAAGAAAGGACTGCAGCGCGGAACAGGGAGGTGGCGAGTGGCACTTTGTCCCCGAACCCCCGCTCGTGGTGTGGAGGGACAGCTCACACCTGCAGATGCATGGTGACTCCTGGCAACCCCAGAGGCCTCCACAGAGAAGCACATCAGTGAAACAGCAGTGGAGCTGGAGACTGCAGTGGGTGGGAGTTATCTGGGCTCAGACATCTCCCAGGAGAAGGCAGTTCTCGCGTCACCATGTTGGAAAGGGGCCAACTGAACTCAGAACTCACGGCAGCTGTGGGTTGTTTTCCCCTGTTGGCTCCCGGTGTCAGGGTGAACCACAGCCGCCATCAAGCCAGCAGGAGGTACTTGGAGTGTTGTGGGCTGAACAACTCAGGTCTCAGCCTCACAGCCAGAAACCAGAAGCAGCCTGACCTTCAGTTTCACTAAAGGCCCAGGTTTGCTGGGGTTATCCACCACCACCGTAACTCGTGTGTGTGTGTGTGTGTGTGGTACCAGGAATCAAACTCAGGACCTTGCGCTTGGGAGGCAGGTGTGGCGCCACTGAGCTAAATCCTGGCCCTCCACTGTAATTCTGCTGTTCGCTTTCTGGGATCCATCAACATTGATCGGGGCTTTGTCTGCCCCCTCTCCACCAGTGACACCAGAGACAAACCCGAAGTGGACTTTTTTCCTACTTTTCTTCCTTTCTTTGCTTTTTTATTTTTATTTTTTTCTCTTTTTCTTGGTTCTTTGTTCTTGTTTTTATATGCGTGTGGAACATGACTACAAATCTTGTTCATCGGCTTAAAGGTGGCAAATTAATAGTTACCACAGTTTCATTTTTAGGGTGTGTTTTGATGCTGTTGTTATTACTAATGTTACACAGTTGTTCAAATCATTTGTTTTTCCTTGTATACCAACTCTGAGGTTGCTTAACAGTCATAAACTATACTGCAAGCCAGTGCCAAAATACCAGAGGCGAGGCCAAATAGGCAGCAATTTCTCATTCTCAATAAATTAAAGAGGTAAGATATTGCAAGAGACGCAAAACCCAAAAGCCAGCTACACATGGAAGGCATCTCTCTGACAAGTAGTCATTTCCTAAGGGTTCTTGGTACTAGCAATAAAGATAACTACCATAAATAATTTATAAGCATCACAGGAAGAATTAAACTGAAAAAAATAGAGAAAATGAGAAAACAGGAGTGAGATGCAACCCCAGACTTCCAGCTCATCTAAGGCAAGCCCAGGGGACAGTTTGGTGGAACAATTCAAAAGTCACCCATATGGACTCTCTGAAGTAACAGCAGAAGTAAAGTAAATGAGTGAGAAGAAAATCACTAAGAAGAAATCTAGAAGAAAATCAAATCAGAAATAATTGCTAAGATAATTTCAGAGATGATGACCATCTCAGAGTGAAGGGCATGATTTGTGAATCTAGAATAGATGCAGATTAAAAAAAAAAAAAAAAAAAAAAGCTTAGGAAAATGATGGAAACCATGAATGCCATCAAATTCAGTCAGATACCCAGGAGATTAAAAATTCTATTCAAAGTATATGCAGCAAATGAACCAAGGTAAGGACAGAATATCAGGTCTAGAAGACAGGATTTCAGTTAAGGATCATGAAAAGAAAGATGTATTAAAAATAGAAACCAAAAAAAAAAAAATAGAAACCAGACAAAACTGTTTTGTTGTTGTTTTTGTTTGGGTTTTTGTTTTTTTGTACCAGGAATCGAACTTGGGTCCTTGTGCTTATGAGGCAGGTGACAGAACCACTGAGCTAAATCCCCAGCTCAAGCTTTCATCATTAAAACACAGTTCGGGGCTGGGGATTTAGCTCAGTGGTTCCACTGCCTACCTCACAAGCACAAAGTCCCAAGTTCATTCCCTGGTAACAAAAAAAAAAAAAAAA